GGGGGTGGGGGGTGGGAGGGTGGGTGGCTCACTGGTACAAGGATCTGAACCTTGACCTTGGTGTTATGACATCATGCTCTAACCAGCTGAGCTACCCGGCCAACCCTAGATGGTAAAGACTCTGAAGGCAAGAACGGTGCCATATTTACCATATATTCCCTCAGTAACAGATCTGTGCAGAGTATACAGTAGGGATTTCCTAAATTTGAGTGAATTGAAATTGAATTGAACCGCAGTGTTGGAAATAGAAAGAACCTTGAAAAACAGGCATCTGGCTCCTTATTATTCAGATGGAGAAACTGAGTCTCAGACAACAGAAGCGATTTCCCTGAGACCCACAGTTGGTGCACAACTGAGCAAGGCTTCTTTAAGTCAGTGACATACAGAGAACGCACTTGTTAGAGAATAAACTGTGTATAAAGCACATCGTGCAATGCCCGGTTCATGTCTTACCCTAATTACATCTTTATTACACACAATTATAGATTAGATGTAGTTATCATGAATACAACAACAACCAAGACAAATAATACACACCCAGCATCGGGGACAGTGAGCACAGCAAATAAAAAACAGTGGACCTTAAGGAGATTACAGTCCAGTTAAGAAGTAAAAACCAATGCATGTGAAAAGATCAGAGATTAAGTAAAGGGGTCCTCACAACAGAGACGATAAAAGTTCTGAGAAGGGACTCATCGCTGTGGGTTGGGGAGGTTGAAGGTGCTGGAGGAGTTGAAAGAAGCTGAACTTCTAAGGTAGAGGAGGGGGCGGGACAGCGAGGGGACCAGGCAGCCAGCACGCTTGCTGGGAGGGTCTGCTGCGGTCACCGCTGGGCCCAGTGTGCAGGGGGTGGGAGTCACTCAGCAATGGTTTGAGGAGTTCCTGCATTAATTACAGAATAGGACAGAAGCAAGGGGTGGGAGCCACGGGGCATATTGTGGAGAACAGTGACAGGGATGTACGGTTCACTCACCAAGCAGCAGGGGCCACCTCAGTTTGGGAGCTGGGAAGTGGTGGGACCACCGTAGCTGGGGTATGAGCAAAGAGACCCCGAATAAGAGGGGCAGGAGGGAGACAGAGAGGCCGAGAGGCTGTTACCGCCAGGAGCCCAAGGGAGTGGGGCCTGGGCTGAGTGTTGGCCATAGAAATGAAGCAAATGGGTGGCAGGAGGAGTGCAGAATTTATGACAGACTGGGTATAAGGGGTGCAAGAAAGAGACCCATCAGAAATGACCACTGAATTTGTATTTCTGTGTGTCAGAAAGAATGGGGCTGTAACTGACTACGATGGGATAGCTGGAGGAAGGAGGTCTGTGTAGACAAAAGTTATAAGAGATTCACCACTGGAGATTTTGAATTTGTCATCAAATGTAGGTCGCTTGAGTATGTACGTCCAATGGGCAGTTGGGAATATACATCCGGCATAAGGGAGATAAAAGAGCGTGAGATTCGTACGTGGGAGAGTCATGGGGGTAAGAGTGGAGGCCAAAGGAATGAATGAACTCAACAAGAAAAAGAGTAGAAGAGGAAGAGAAGGTTGGGGGCCAAATCTAGAGTCAAAACTAAGAGTCATCAGGATAAGACGTAGACAGAGGGGAGAAGAAAAATCAGGAAAGGGAATCCTCAAAGCAGTCACAGGAGAAAGATTCAAGAAATGCAGGCTCTATAGTATCAGATGCTTAAGAGAAATTCGTGACCACACACCCACACACACACACACAATTTGGCAGAATGAAAGTCTCCAGCAACCATGAAAAGTTTAATTTCAGTTTTAAGGATGGAGCTGGGTTTTAGAGAATAGTACACTTTTTAAAGGAAGAGAAAATGGAGGTGGAGGTCTCCACACGTGGAGCATGTCTGGCCACATTCTTGTCCCTCAGATCCAGGGTACAAAACTAGCAGGTAATCAATAAATTCACTGAGCACCCTCTATGAGACCAGCATTGCTAGCACCGTAGTGATAGAAATTAGAAGATGTCATTCCTACTGGGAAAGTAACTGGGCACGTAAAAATTTAGCACTTGGAAAAACCCTACCAACCACCGTGAAATCTGTATGCTGTATCTTTAGCAAGTTTGGGGGTGGAAGGAAGGAAATGTACTGGAAAACATTTCTGCATTTTTCCACCCCCTCTTCTGTGCAAACAATATAAAACAGGAAACAAATTATTTAGCAGGATTACAGTTTAAATGCCTGGATTTGTAATGCCCATTTCTTCTAATGGTCTTTCATAGTCCAGGCAGGCTACCCAAAGGGTTGGAGTATGACCTACGGCCTCTGGGGCTGAGTCTGTGCCATGATGCTGAGACGAGGATTCACCAAGCCCTTCAGAGCTGCTGTCTGTATGGAGATGCTCCATCTAAGACCCTTCCTTTCTCTTGTAACCCCTGAACAACACCCCCAGGGATAGAAGAAGTGCAGGATGTAAAATCTGAGTGGAGCAAAAAGATGCTGCAACAAAGTGCCAGAAAAAAATTTTTTTTCTTAAAAAACAAAGGGTAATAAGAAGAATTTACATTATCTAGAGGTAGCTCTGAACATCCCAACACATCAGCTTGCCTCAGGTGTCTTTCTTCTGAGTTAGCACTTCTAGCCCTGACCAATGGAGAGGTCAGTGATGGCCAAGTCCAAGTTTCAAAGAAAATTTGTT